TCCTCTTTTTAAGTTATTCAGGCCAGGCACCAAAAAAAGTATTGGGGCCTATGGATTCCAAACTGAGAACCCATGTTTATAATGAGTGGCAGCAGTTTTAAACAAGCATGTCTCCCAGTCCACTCATGGGTCTCCAGATGCATAGGGACTGCAATGCCCTGCATTCCTAGCTGACATTCTGCAGTCCAAACACATCTGGAGGGCACCAGGCCAGGAAAAGCTGCATTACATCACGAGTATAACTATGTGGGATTGGAGAAGGCTGACAAAATATCTTAGGGTAAGAGTTCAATCCAGGCCTAGCTGCCTCTCTTTAGTATGGCTTAATTGGAAATAGGGCTACGTGCCCAGCTTGAAACGCGTCTTAATTTTAAAAGGGCAAGCGAATGTGAAACATAATGGTTCGCAAATATTAGGAAAAGCTCCTTTACAGTCAGAGCATTGGCATATGTGGAATATAATTGGAGAAAATTGGGCTTCTTTCTGAATTTGTTCTAATGCAGTCAGGTGCATCTGGCACAGTGTTTCTCAACCTTGGCCACTTTAAGATGTGTGGACTTCAACTTCCAGCCTTGCTGGCTGGGGAATTCTGGGAGTTGAAGTCCACACATCTTAAAGTGGCCAAGGTTGAGAAACACTGATCTAGCAGAACCAGCAGATCGCTACGTGCCCAGCTTGAAACGCGTCTTAATTTTAAAAGGGCAAGCATCTGCTGGTTCTGCTAGATCAGTGTTTCTCAACCTTGGCCACTTTAAGATGTGTGGACTTCAACTTCCAGCCTTGCTGGCTGGGGAATTCTGGGAGTTGAAGTCCACACATCTTAAAGTGGCCAAGGTTGAGAAACACTGATCTAGCAGAACCAGCAGATCCCAACATCCACTCTCGGCAATCCCTCACCTTGAGTGCTTCATCCTGCAGCTTGAAATCCTCATCTTCATCTGAATCACAATCAGGAAACTGGTAGATCCGGATCCCAAAATGATCAATTTCATCACGAATCTAGAACAGAGGAACGTGCCAGCAGTTGATGGAGCTCAATCGCAGCTTTGATTCCAGTCATTATATTCTATAGACCAAACTACATGGACAAGGGCACCCCCAAACCACCCGTTTTCCCACCCTGAACCATCAGAAACACCTTTGAGCCACCTGCTGCCACCCCAAGAATTCTCCAGGAGCCAGTCAGGGCCCTCCAGATATGGAGGAATGAAGAACTCAGCATTCAGCCAGCACCGCCCCCCAACTCCTCACCCTCCCTGACTTTCTCATAAAATACATGTGGCCACTTTGAGGGAGAGACTGAAAGCCCTCTCTATACTCTTCTTAAAAAGAACACAGATTTCACAATACGACAAGATCGCAAAGCCTGGATCTTGGAGGGAGGGGGTTGGAGAGGGAGGGAGGAAGGGAGGGATGAGCGGGAAGGCAGGACAAAGCCAAAGTGAGGAAGACAGTGTAAGAGAAGAATATCAAATTATCCTTTTCTGCTGTTGCCCCTGCCCTTTGGAATATTCTCCCCCCAGAGGTGCAACAGGCCCTGACCCTCCCGGCTTTCCGAAAAGGTTTAAAGACCTGGCTCTGCCAGTGTGCATGGGGCGAGATGGGCTCTAACCATCCTTGGGGGTGCTTAGCACCCTGACGATACTCCCTTGAATTATTCCCCAACTTTCCATCTCGCTTGGATTATTAGGTCTGTTTTATATTGTATGTTAACAAATTTTATTTTTGCTGTAAACCACCCAGAGTCATTTCAACGAGATGGGTGATGACAAATTTGATAGACAGATAGACAGATAGACAGACAGACAGACAGAGCGAGCGAGCGAGCAAGCAAGCAAGCACAGAACACTATGATTCCTTATGGTCTACATTTAACTCAGCATTTAAAATCTGAATTACAGTGAGTTGTACAATTACATACTTAAGACTTTTATATTTAAGAAACAATTTCAAAATCTTGGGCTTTTGTTTCCTTTTTCAATTAGTTTTGCTTAGGTTAATCCATTTATTTATCTTAATGAGTTCTGTTGTGTTTCTACATTGTTCAGGGAAGTGGGAAGAGTGTCCCCAAGTTTGTTCTGATCTCCTCTTTTACCTTGTTTTTCATTCGTTCCACCTCCGACGGCATGAGAGTGTCAGCCTTGGCTAAGACAGGAACAATGTTCACGCGCTGATGGAGCGCTTTCATGAATTCAATGTCCAGAGGTCGCAAACTGCCAAGAACAGACAAGAATTCACTGTAGAAAACCTGGGAGCTGTGGAAAGGGGCTATTTCTTTTCTGGCCAATAAGCAGAAAAGTGGGGTGTCTGACATGTGCTAGAATCTGTATCAATTATTTTGCAGCAATCAATGATACTCCAAAAAATTACTACTATTTCAATTAATTATATAAGGAAACATTAAAGAGAAAGGCAGAGCTGGCAGACTTGGCCTATTCTGGATGAAAAATCTATATGCATGGTTTGGCAAAAATGCAACATCCTTGTTTCATGCACTAACATCTGCAGAACAAATGATGCTGGGGGTTGCCAACTTCCAGTAGGAGGCAACATTAAAAGAAGAGGTTGGCCTTCCATTCCAACTATTTAATGCATTATATTATTTGAATCACGCATTTTAGAGTTATGTTGTGGGGAAAATAGAAGGAGGAAGGAGTATTAGGTACTGTGGAGTCCTTGGGGTTCTCTGAGCTTGCTTGTTTCCTTGCAAACATTTCATTACCCGGCTAGGTAGGGTTTGCTCTCTATTTATATACTATACTATGTTACTATATATATAGTATTAGGTACATTCGCCACCTTGAGTTCTGTGGGATAAAAGAATCTAAAAAAACATTCAAGGATCATCTTATCTATGGATGGGCTTATATGTGAGAATATATGGTAAACATATAATTTGGACCTAGCCTTTACAGTAGTGCATAACATTCTAACCATATAACTTCCAGGCTGGAAAACCAGGGATTGCATATCTGGGGAGCATAAGGTTAAAAAGGCTGGACCAGAAAAAAACTGCTAACAGCCTTTTAGGTAGCAAGTGCAGTCAGTAAGTCTTTAGTCAGAGTTTCTTTTTTTAAGAAAAAGCATGCTCCAGGAACACAAGGAGGCTGGTTCAGTTCATACCCGTGACCAAAAGGAGAGATGAAGTAGAGGCAGCAATGGACACGGTTGTCCTGAATATTTTTCCGGTTAAGGCCACTTTCATCCCGGAAATACTGCTCAAACTGCTGATCTATGTAATCAGCCACAGGCTTCCAACTGGGAAAGAAAGGGAACATGATTTAGAATTGGTGGGTTGAGGAAGGCAGGCTTCAAGTTTGCACAATCAAAGCTAGACTTTACTGCAACTAGCACACATACAGAATTTAAAAATGGAATTTGGAATCCCAGAACTGGTTATCCTAAACTTTCTTCTTACTAGCAATATAGTATAGGCTTGGGAGAGGTATTGTTGCTGTTGTTAAGGTATTGTTGCTGTTGCTGTTGCTGTTGATTTTTTGCAAATCATCCAGGGATCTACATCTGGACCTATTTTCTGCCAATCCACAATTAACAAAGAGGTTATGTTCTTTTTTTAGGTGGAGAAAGAGAAGGAGCAGGAAGAGGAGGAAAGATCCATAAATGCCTGTGATATAATTATGGCTAGGGAAAGGCCCAAGCTACATAACTCATGCTTGGAAGCCTCAAGTTTGAATCCCACCTCTGCCAGTCTCAACATAAATTCTTGAGAAAATCATGCTCTTCTCCAACTGATCATCCATAAGTAGCACAGTCATGCCAGCATGACAGGATGGAAGCAAGGGTGAAATGTTGAACATCTCCTCTTGTAGGAGGAGGGAGAGGCTGTTTAGAGAAATTCAGTGGGACTTCTAATGCGTTCATGCCTGCTAAGCCAAGACTAAATATCTCCCTTCCCTTCAGATCTCTCCCTGCTGGCTCACATTTGCTGTAGCTCAGAAATCAGTAGAACTACTCCAGAAATGCAGCACCTCTCATATACATTTGCCCAACACAGCTCACTCAATCTATCAGTAATCAAATTATCCAGTGATCTGGTACCCAATGACCTCAGGAATGAAAGTGGCCCAGTTATATTGGAAGAAATATCTGACAGCATCTTAGGCACCTTTTCAAAAACATTTAAATTGATTATGCACCATCAAGTTGGTGTCAACTCTTAGCAACCACATAGACAGATTTTTCTCCAGGAGAATCTGTCCCTAACTTGGTCCTTCAGGTCTTTCAACCATGTACCCATCGCCACTGTAACTGAATCCATCCACTTTGCTGCTGGTCATCCTCTTCTCTTTCCTTCCACCTTTCCCAGCATTGGAGCCTTCTCCAGGGAGCTAGGACTTGCATAATGTGCCCAAAGTAGGACAATGTGAGCCTGGTCATTTGTGCCTCAAGTAAGAACTCTGGGTTGATTTGTTTGATGATCCATTTGTTTGTTTTCTTGGCTCTCCATACTATTCTCAGGAGTCTTCTCCAACACCAAAGTTGAAAAGCATCAATAGCAAATAGTCATCGAGTTACAACAGCAATTGGGACTGGAATTTCCATCACTAAGCGATGCAGCCATAAAACACAATGTTATTGTGACCACGTTACTTAGCGACGGCAATCCCGGTTGCTGTTGTTAACTGAATTCCACTGGTTGTTAGCTAAGGACCCACCCTGATCCAAGCCACTCCTGGCTTGGTCCCTCCCAGCCCCGAGCCTTGGTAAGGTAAGGGACTGCTTCCTCTTCAACTTCCCCCACCTGCCTATCTCCCCCCTATTTCTGCCCTTTTGGCTGCCTTGCATTCCACCACCTCTGTCCACCTTGCCACCCTGTGCTCTGCTCACCCTGCCATCCTGCCGCCCTGCACTCACTGGCCCTTCTGCCCCTGCCGGCTTTGCCACCCCCAGCTGACTTCCACTGTCTTTTTCCTGCCACTGCTGATGAGGTGTGCCCAGTCTGGCCCTTTGTGAGGCAGCTGCTGGCCACGCCAGGCCTTCTTTCCAGGGCTGCACCCACCCCTTGTCCAAATCATGCATGGCCTTGTCCAAATTACATGCAGCCTTCTCACAAGATTCTACTTCCACCTTCCATCCTGCACAGTATTAATTCTGCTTGTCACAAGCAAAAATGTGCACTGGTTGCAAAGCATGCAAATGGTGATCACATGACTGAGGGACGCTGCAATGGTCATAAATGCAAAGATTGGTCCCAAAGTTATTCTTTTACACTGTCATAACTTTGAACGGTCGTTGCATGAGGCAGTCAGTAAGCAAGGACTACTTGTAGGTTTCTCATAAGAACAATGATATGTTCTGGGATTCCTATTTTTCTAAGCTCATTCCACAGCTTGATGTGATCTACACAATTGAAGACCTTTCTATAACCAACAAAGAACATACCGACTTCTTTTCGGTATTTGGCTTTTTCAATTATCCAGCATGCATCAGCAATAATGTCTCACGTTCCTCAGCCTTTTCTAAAGCCAGCTTGAACATCTGGCATCTCTTTTTCCATGGAGGGCTCTAATCTGGATTGGATGATCCTAAGCATTATTTTGTTGCCATGTGATTTTTAAAATTAGCAATGGCTTAAGCAGAGAAAGAGCCTCAGGTCAGGGTGCCCCCTTCCTCTTTCTGCCCACGTCACCCTCTCACCTATCTGTATCTCTGGGGAGTTGAAAAGAAAAAAGCAACAAAAGGCCTAGAAAAGCCTTGTTTTTCTGGGTCACTCTAGCTTCTTATCTTTGTGTAAGGCAGGAAGAGGGTTGATGTGGGTGTTGAGTCAATCTTGACCCAGAACTACCAGATTTCTGACTTCTCACACACATGCTATACGTTTAAGCACATAAGGTAAACCTAGTGACTCAGTCTGCAAACGTCCCCTTGTTTCTTTTTAATTTTATTCTCCAGGTTAGTAGCAGCAGTACTTCAGAGAACTACAGGAAGAGAGAGAGGTCCCTTCCTCCTCCTTTTGTGGCACCTGGCACAAAATTGTACTTGGATACCAGCAGAAAGGACCACAACGCCTTTGGGAAATGTAATTTTCTCAAGATCTGATGCAATACCAGGCAGACAGGGATTCTTCTCTAGTTCAAATTTTAATCTTTTTTTTAATGAGTATTATCAGACTTCAAAACTCGTATCTGAGCCCCAGATGAACAATGCGCCAGAAAAAAAGATGCCCTCTTGGGCAAGACTCAGTTCTTCTTCCTAGTGCCTGCAGCAGGATTCACCTGCCCTCCAGCCAGCTGGCCTTTGTCTCTTGCAGAGTATTTTTATCACAGCCTTGGCTTCCATCCAAGGGTTAGCTCAGCCCTGCAAGAGATGCCTGATGGGATTCCCTCCTCACAATTTCCCATGATTCTGCAATAAGGCTTTCCCCAGGCGAATTCCTTCCCACTTTCCTGGGAGACATACCATTCTGTGTTGTTTACAGCATCTCCAAAACCTGGTGTGTCCACAATGGTCAAGCGGAGTTTCACACCTTTCTCCTCTATGTCCACCACATGCTTGGTAATCTCCACGGTCTGGACTATCCGTTCTAGCCCCCGGAGACAGAAAAAAGAGAGAACGGGATAAGGCTTGCTGGAAAGGGCGCATCCTAGACAACCAAAACCCCAAGGTTCCAAATCAACTGAAATGTCAGCTGTGCAAGAATAAGATCCCTCTCGTGGAATGAGAAATAAGATCTCCCTCTTCATTCCTGATCTTTAGAAATTCTTTGGCTGCTGAAAAGAGCATTGCTCCTGCACCTCTGATTAAAGGCTGGAATCTACTAGAATCTGAAAAATCCAGGGAACACACGCAGGTGATATTTGCTGCAATGATCCATTTATTTCTAAGGAGTAGGTAATACGTTTGAGCTAGAAATATTGCAGAATAGATTAGGTCAGAGAGCAATACCATTTCATCGACTGCTTCGTGTGGTTTTCCTATTGGAGATTCTCTTGAGATGCTGTCTGTGGTTTTCATAGCTCTCCACTTATCTCCTCTGCAACTGTTAATTTTGTGCATGACTACTTAAAGTTAAAAAGGAACTTTTACCATTTCCCCGTTTCCTTTTTTCACAAATAAAGTTAGCTTTCCGTAAAACTTGTGACACTGATCTGTCTTTCAAAGGCGTAGGAAACTCATTCCCTTAGTCACACACCTCATACTACACTGTTGGGACTAGCACAATAGGTATTATTTCATTTTATCAGTTTCTTTTTATTCACTGCTAAGGCACCCAGGCTGTGGGAGCCCTCTCTATCTCCCCAGATAACAATTACCTCCAGGAAGATAGGTGGCTGCGGGTGTGACAACCAAACAGAAAGAAAGTGGAGTTAGGGTGCCATGATCCATAGGACTTCTAGGAGCTGAGGCTTGAGACCTCCAGTCTTTCATCCATCGGGCTTAATCTCACCACTATACAGTTTTGCTTTATGATTATTCAGTTTGGCTTATTGTCTGCTATTTGTTTTACAATATTTGCTTTCTATATTGTATTATATTATTGTGTTCTTTGCTTGTGAGCTGCTAAGACAGTGTTTCTCAATCGCAGCAACTTTAAGATGGGTGGACCAACTCCCAGAATTCCCCAGCCAGCATGCTGGCTGGGGAATTCTGGGA